GACTTGGAAATAGGAAAGATAGAAACTGAAATTACCAAATTAAGAAAAGAAGCCTTGAATGAAAAAGATCCGATAAGAAGAGGAAAAATTATGGAGTTAATTGAAGAGCAAGGCAAAAATTTGGAGGCAAAATATAGAAAAAAGCAGGAGTTATCTAATAAATTCAATTTTGACCCAGGCCAGAAAGTTAACAAATTAATAGATGCTATAAAAAAGGCTCTGGATAAAAAAGATTGAAGTGGCAATAATGGTGGAAGAAGAGGAGGTTCAGGAATGCCATCACATAACCCTAATAATGATCATTCTGACGATGAAAGTTCTGATTACTTTGATACTGATGATGATATTGTAGAGCCAGGTGCTAAAAAGAAAAAGTCAGAAACTCCCCAAAATTGATTTCAAGAAAACCAGAAAATAATTCTAATTGCTGGTGCTGTTGTTCTAATCATTTTTCTTCTCTACTCTCAGCAGTCTAAAAATAAAGAACCCAATTATTACGATTTCTAATTATGACTAACGCCGAAGAAATTAAAACTAAACTTGGCAAATACACCGAGCAACTCGAACAGCAACTCGAACCTTGACAACGGGGTGCTTTAATTTTGGCTCTTACTTTTCTACTTCTAATCTCTATTTGCTACCTGACTAAAAAAGAAAAGCCCGAACCACGAGAATTAACTGATAGTGAAAGAAAAAAAATTGAAGCCTTGGCCGAAGAAAGAATATTAAAAAGAGCAGAATTTTTAAAGAAACTTAGAGGATAACATGTATAAAAATGATTTTGACATCGAAGAAAAGACCGCCAGTAGTAAGCAAAAAGAGCAATTGCAACTGCTGCTTATTGTGGGAATAGTGGGAGCAGGATATTATTTTTTGTTTATCTTTCACAGAAAAGGGAAAAAGCAAAGAAAGCGATTAATAAACTATTTCAACAAAATCCTTCTGTTTCTAGCACTGATCTAGATAAGGAAATTTGAAAGGGGGCTGAAAATTGAGAAGAATATTTAGACAATTTGTATTTAAGTTCGCAAATTAATCAGTTTGCGGAGCAAATGAAAGAGGCCATTAAGACAAAACAAAAGGAAATAGATGATGAGGAAGCCAAAAAAAAGGAAAGTAGAAAAAAAGCAGTTGAACAAATAGAAAAATATTGCGAGGAAACTTTTAAGTATATGGAAGAAGAATTGCCTTCTGTTCAAAAAGCTATAAAAAAATTTTTCAAAAAAATTAAGGAAACTCCGGTTGACGACTTATCTTCGGTTATCGCAGAAGCCCAAAAATTCATTGACGAGGAAAGAAACAAAATAAAAAGGCTCTATTGACTAATGAAAGATTATAATTGAGCCGACCGATGACTAAAAAGGAATAGAGAAAGTTTTAATGCAGCGTGGAGAAAAATGAAAGTTAATTATGGCGGAGAAGAACCTCCTTATTTTAGTGCCCGAGCCATTTATAAAATTAATTTTCCTCCTTCTCTCTGGAATGAATTAACTACCAAGCAACAAGAATTAGCCAAGAAAAACGGACACGGCGAACTTAATTTAAGAGAAGAAGTAAAAGATTACAAATTTAATGACTTAATTACCGAATGAGAAGAAAAAGTTAAAGAAAATCCAGCACGAGGCGAGCAAAATCCTAATAATCCTGCTGAGCTAGACAACAATGCCCTTTTTTACGGAGCCCCCAGAACTGGCAAATCAGTCATGGCCGAAAAACTGGCTTATGAGTCTGATATGCATCCTTTAGTAGTAATTCAGGGCTCAACTTTGACCCCTAATAAATCTGATACTGATGCTAATGTCACACTTTTACTAAAATTTATCTTTACCATTAGTGCTATTACTCACGATTTAGTAAATAATTTTGGTTATGTAAGGGAGGAAGGAGACGGTGAAGTTAGGTATATTCTGTTTATTGACGAAGCCGACCAAATATGTATGAATAACTTTGATCCTCCCCGAATTGCTTCTTCCCAGTTAACTTTTTTAAAAGAGTGCATGGGAAGCGATAATAAGGAAGAAGAAAGCAAAAATTTATGAATTGCGGCTACTAATCACCTAGATAATGTTAATCCTGCTGTCTACCAGTCCGGAAGATTAAGTAATCCGTTATGTTTTAGTTGAACCTTAGGAACTTTTATGAAATATGCCGAAGACGAGGGAATTACTAGTGATTTTCCTGAACATTGAAAAGATATGACCCTGAATGCTGAGGATATTAAGCATGTCAATCGTTTTAATAAAATCCTTTTTGACAAATATTTTCTGGGTAAAGGTAAAGATGGAGTTATTGACAATAATAAATCTTTTTGGCACAAATTTATTAATCATCCTGAAACCAAGGAACAGTTGCCAGAAATAACTCTTATTTGGCTAGTTTTTATAGTAGCAATAAAGGTCAGGTAGAAACATTGGAAAAGAGTATTAGCACGGTTTTAAACCAAAACCAAACTGGCTCTGAACCAAAAGTCCCGTGAGGAGTAATTATTCCGGTTTCATTGGCAGTAGCAGCAATAGCGGCAGTAATAGTGATAGTAAGAAAGAGAAGACGGGGAAAAATAATATAATATTTTGCCGTAGGGCTGAAAATAAACCTGATGTTTTAATAGACGGGAGAATAAGAAAAAGAATATCATATTGATATATGACCACAAGTAAAAATAGTAATAATTATAAATTAATAATTGGACGCCACTGTCCTTTTAAAGCACCTTATTATTTACCAGGGGCGGTTCAGGAGGCAGTAAGTTATGGCTCTAATGCCTTGATGATTTATTTGGGGGCACCCCAAAATACTCGTCGCCGACCCTTGACTGAATTAAAAATACCGGAATTTCGTCAAATTCTAGCAGAAAATAATATCAATATTGACAATGTTATAGTCCATGGTCCTTATGTAACAAATCTGGCTAATCCCGACCGAACAGAAATTTTTCACTGGTCGGTGGAATTTCTGAAAAAAGAAGTTACTCGCATGGAAGCAATTGGCTTAAAAACACTTATTCTTCATCCCGGCAGTGCAGTTGATGCACCCATTAATGATTCTCTATCCCAGGTGGCTCATGGAATTAATTTAATTCTCCAAAAAAGCGTCCAAGCCCGCATCGTTTTAGAAACCATGTGCGGTCGGGGCAGCGAAGTAGGAATAAATTTCGAACAATTGAAATACATTATTGACCGGGTTGAACAAAAAGAACGAGTGGGTGTTTGTTGAGATGCTTGTCATTTGTGGACGGCCGGTTATGACATTAAGAATAACCTGGAAGCGGTTATTGAGGAATTTGACCAGAAAATCGGTTTAGAAAAATTATGAGTCATCCACATTAATGATAGTGCGGCAGAATTAGGAGCCAAAATTGACCGCCACGAAAATATTGGCTATGGAAAGATTGGTTTAGAAACTTTGAAAAGAATAGTTTGATACCCTAAATTCAATGGGATACCTAAAATATTAGAAACGCCCCGTCGCCGCGAAGACTTTAAGGAAGAGATTAGAATTTTGAAAGAGAAAAATTAATTACTAATGTAATGGTTATTCAAAAAAAAAAAAAAAAAAAAAAAAACAGTTTTGCTAATTAGCGTAACTGTCGGAGTAATTGGTCTAGTAGCAGGCGTTTTTTTAATTAAAAATATTTTCTTGTCCGCAGAGAATAAGGATGGACAACCGACCAAAACTCCTCCCATTTCCCCTCCCGTTTATCCCGAGGAGCAAGATGATTGTCCTTATAATGAAAAGAGTTTGACGACTTTTTCCCAAAGTAATTACGAAAGAGCCAACCAGGAGGATTTAGCCAGATGAAAATTAATCCCCCGCAACTACATAGTTAAATGTTGAAAAAAAGGTTATCATTGACATGATATTATTCAACTTTGAGGGTGAAAAATACCAGAGGAGGAAATTCCGGATTTAACTTCACAAGAAAGGGTTGGAGTAATAAATGGGTTAATTTTCATGCCGAATCCAAAAATGTATGATGAATCCATTTCAAAAGAAGAAAAACTAGAAATAGCGGAAAATAATCACTGAGTAGGTCGAACTACCGATTTGATAGTTATTGTGCGAAAAATCCCCCATGGCGGCCCCCAGGTTAATATTGATGAAGGGTTTGGAATGAGGAACGAGGACGAACGGGGAGACCGCGGCCAAGTAAGAAAAATAATTAATTTGGCCTTCCAGCAAGAAAATATTGACCCCCAGCAGTGCGAAGTATCGGTTTTATGAACCATTGGAGCCCACAGGTTTGGTAATGAATGAGACATTAATTGTGGGTCAAGCCAAGGAAGTTCCGGCGGAAGTGCGATTTATTTAGCTTTATTAAGCGTTCTCCACTGGAAGCCAATTTCCCGACAAGTGGCGGCTACTGGCACCCTAGGAATGTCAGAACAAAAAGGAACTATAAACGGTCAAGAAATTATTTTGCCCCCCGGAACTAATTTGCCGATTGCTGGTCTCCGCGAGAAAATTATTGCTTGTGCGGAAAAAGGAATTAATAAAGTAGTACTCTCTAAATTTCAGTCCTCTCCTAATCTTTTAGTCAAAAAGGACGATTTAAACCCGACAATAGAATTAAAATTTCCCGATTATCAAGAAGTAGTTCCAACTGAAATTAAGGCTAAAATAAAGGAAATCCATTGAACTAAAAATGTTTCTGAATTAAGAGAATTGGTTTTAGAAAATAAATTGTCTTAGCCATAACTAAAAGAAAGGGGCAAATCATTGTTAACCCTTACCAAATAGAAAATGACAAATATCCCCCTCTTTAACAATGTATTGAGCCCCCTCACTTCTAATTTTGCCTAATTTTCTCAACTGCGTTTCGCTCGGATTGCCTAATCAATCAATATAATTATATACTTCTAATCGAATGAAATTCTTTTGGATATCGGTATGAATTAGCCCCGCACATTCTCGGGCCGTCATTTCTTTTTTGGCTAATCAACTTTTAGTTTCTTCTGCACCAGCAGTGAAAAAAGTTTTCAGGTTCAGCGATTCTTTAATTTTTTCTGTTAGTAAGGAGAAGTCGGTGGCTTGTCAACCTAGTTCTTTTTTTTCTGCTGCCGATAATTCAGTCATTTCTTCCTCTAATTTAACAGCCAAAGGAAAGAAAAATAATCCTTTCTTTTTAGCGTGTTCTCTTAATTCGTGAACCTCTTTTTCTTCCCCGCTATAATTAGCCAACAAAAGAACCGGTTTGTTAGTCAAAAAATGATAACCTTTGATTAATTCCTTTTCTGCGGCGGTTAAGTCTAATTGGCTCGTTGGTATTTCTTGGGTCAATTTCTCCTGAACTGATTGTAAAACATTTTTTTCTTTTTGGGTTTTTTCATCCCGAATTTTTAACTTGGTTAATTTTCTTTCTATTTGTTGCAAATCTGCCTCAATTAACTCTAATTGAATTATCTCCCAATCCCGAATGGGATTCACCGACTTTTCTACATGAACTATATCTTGGTCCGGAAAACAACGAAGAACTTGACAAATTAAATCAACCTCCCGAATATGGGATAAAAATTCATTGCCTAATCCGGAACCTTGGGCGGCCCCTTTCACTAAACCGGCAATATCCACGATTTCGATAACGCTCGGAGTCGTTTTTTTGCTTTGCCAACATTTGCTTAATTTTTCCAAACGAGAATCAGCAAGTAGCATTACCCCCACATTAGGAGTAATAGTTGCGAATGGATAATTAGCGATCAAAATATCTTTTTTGGTTAAAAAGTTAAATAAAGTGGATTTACCGACATTTGGTAAACCGACCAGACCGATTTTAATGGGCATATTGTATGTTTTTAATGCTAATTTGCAAACCGCTTAAATGTTTTTTTATCTTTTTTTCGACTTTTTATCAGTCATAGAAAGATAATAATTTCCATCCCGGTTGAGACGCCAAAAATGGCCCAATGATATTTATTGAAAATTGATTCAATGGGTTTTAATTTATCCGTAATTTTTTTTGATAATTGTGGATTAGAAGTGGAGGTAGTGGCAACTAGCGTAAATTGCGAGAGGTCAATAATTTCCTCTATTTTAATTTTTCCTTCATAAAATTCTCTTTCTACTTGCTGCTTTCCCAAATTAGTGTTTTGGCTCGGGTCAATTATTTTCACCAGTTCATTTTCTAATTCTGGATTAGTAATTTTGTCAATATTTTTTAGCCAAATAATTGGTGAATTGCCTTTGCTTTTTGCCCCATAATTTTCCGGTTTTTCGCAGATTTCTGCGACTTTATTTTGGAGAACTTCGGGTTTATTATTCTCGGCCAACCCAAAATCAATAATGTTATATTTTTCTATAGTTCGCAAATTACCTCTGCCTGCTGCTAATTGCTCGTTAAATTCCTCACCACAAAATAAGAGAGTAGGAGAATTCTCTTTTTTGCCCCATTTTTTGACTCAATCTACTATTAAACTGTGCTCTTGCACTTGTTTTAACATTATATTAAACACTTCTTCCTTTTGTTTTTCTCCTGGCTCCCTTGGCACTTTTCCTCAATCTTCTTTAATTTCTCCCCTCAATTTAAGTATCTTTTTTTCTAATTGCAATTTTTCCGGGTCAGATGGATTATCCTCGGCGCTCGGAATATTTTTTAAAATCTCTTCTAATTGTTGGGCCGGTTTTTCTTTATCGGTTTCAGTGGCTAATTTTGAACGAGCATATTCACCCGGCAAAATAAAACCAACTGCTAAAACCGCTAAAATAATAACTCCCCACAGCATTCTTAATCTTTTTTTTCACCAAAAAAGATAAAAAAATGGCAAAATAATCATTAAAGTGCATCACCAAATTATTCATTTCATAAATTAATTTTACGGTTGAATTGTTAGCAATCCTTTTATTTAATACTTTTTCTCACTTTCAACTTACTAATCAAACCAATTATCACCATATAACTCAACAAAAGTAAAATGCCCCAAATTCATCTTTCTTGGATTTGTTCTTGGCTCATTTTTTCTTTTTGCCGAACCACTCTTTTTAATTCAGCAACATTTTCTCCAAATCTGGCTTGGATTAGATTATTTCTTTCTCGGGCCACGGCAACCAAAGTAGTCGCTTGGTTGATTTTTTCTCTTGCTGCGACCGGGATATTAAGGTCTAACTTCTCGCAAGTCTGATAGGTCTCATTTTTCGCCCAAGCGAGTATTTTTTGATATTCTTTTTGTTGAATAGCCGAAAAATCAGGGTCTTTCTTGTCTTTTTGTAATAATCTAATAACTTTTTGGGCCTGGTCTAACTCTTTTTGCAATTGCTGATTGGTTGTTTTTGGGCCTCTAATTAATTCCCCAATTCGGCTAATTATTTTTTGAATGGTTAATTCTTCAACTTCTATTCCTAATTCTAATGAATTATTAATTTTCTCTAAAATATCTTTCTCCTGTCTGGCTAATTTCTTTTGTAATCGCTCATAATCACCCAAGCAACATGGTTCTTGGCAATTAATTTGTTGACACCACTGCTGGTGAGTATCTAATTTATTTTGTAAATTGTCTCGTTCTTGCTGATAATTATCTCTTTGGTTCTTAATGTTATCGTAGTCTGCCCGAGTCGGACGCCCTTTTAACCCGACCAACACATTCTTTCAATCATTTATATCATTAATATTAAACTCCTGCAAAATATCTCTTTCATAATTATCGGCTCGCAATTTTTCCGCATCTGCCCGACTTTTCTCAGTATGCCAGCCATTTTGGCTAGTATTAAAATCAGCAATCAATTGCCTTAATGACCTATTTTGCGGCATATTTGGCAAATTATTTAAATTGCTCACCCCTAGATGAATTCGAGCCTGCTGGATAGTATTTTGAGCCTGAGTTAATTGCTGCCCTATATTATGGTTAATATTGGCTTCCTGTTGTCAATTAGTATAAAAGGTTTGACCGTTTTGATAAGCCTGATTTAATTTTTGGCGTTTGCTATTTAATTCCTGGTTTTGATAAGCACTTTTTCGCTCCTCTTTTTCTAATCTTCGTTGAACCTGACTTAAACGAGAGTTTAAAACCTCAATTTCTTGCTCTTTCCTTTTAGAAAGTTCTTTTCAAACGCTCTTTTCAAACTTATAGTTTTTTCATTTTCATTCCAATTCTGAAATTTGGAATTCTTTATTTTCTAATTCATCATTTTGCTTGATTAATTTCTGGATTTTTTCGACTATTATCCTTTTTAATCTTGCTGGGTCATCAACATCACTAATTCTCCTTTTTTTCGGCTCATCGTGTTTGGATTTATGTGCTTCTTTAAACGCTTCTAAAATTGCTATTTGATTTTCTAAATCCTTAATAGTGTCTTTGTCCTCCCTGGCCTGGTCTTCGGCAGCCCGAAAAGCCTCCAATAACAATTCTGCTGCCCGTTCTAATTCTCTCAATTCTTTCTCTTTGGCATTTGTTTGGATTTGTGATTTACGGTTCTTTCTTTCTAGTTCATAAACTTGCTGCTGTAAATTATCATTATCCTGGGCTCGGTCTTTCATTATTTTTTCAGTAGCATCGCGGTTTTTCTTTTCTTGCTCTAATTGTTGTTTCAATTTCGCTAATTCATTTTTGTATTCTCTTTCAGACTTTTCTGATTTCCTTTCTGCTTCTCATCGAGAAAAACGCACTTCGGCTTCTGATTTATTATACTTATCTCTTAATTCTTGGATCGTTTTTTTGTCTTGTTCGGATAATTTATTAGCCGCTACTAATTTGGCTTCTATTTTGTTAATTTCCTGGACGGATTTCGTTGCTTCTTTTTTAACCTCTTTTAATTGATTTTTCAATTCCGTTATGGTTGCGTTTTGTCTTTCATTTAATCTTTCCCGCCGGGCGAGGTTTTTGATTAATTCTTTGTTTTCCTCTGAGGCCGCAGAATTATTCCTGTTGACTTCTTTTAATTTCTCATTTACTTCTTGTAATTTGTCAACAATTTTCTGATATTTTGTTTGGAGGATGGCTAACTGTTCGGCCGTTGGTCGTTCGTTTAGAGCAGTTTTTAATTCTGAAAGTTGGTCTTTCAATTCTTTTACCTTATCCTGGTCTTTGCCTCTGTTCTGTTCGGCCAATTGTAGCAAATACTCCAATATTTTTATCTCTTCGGCTGCGGCTTCTCGGTTTTCTGCCAAATCGGCGTTTGCTTTCTCCAAACCATTTATTTTCTTTTCTAATTCAGTTTTCTTATTTCCTAATACTCTCTGGTATTTCTGAATTTTTTTCTGTTTAATAAGATTAGCCTTTTTTAAATCGCCAATGGTAGATTTATCCTTGTCGGTCTGGTTTTTGGCTTGGTCTAACTTTTGCTCCAAGCTTTCTTTTGCTAATTTTAACTCTTTAATTTTTCTGATGAAGCGGGTCGCCAGGAATTTGAAAAGGGCAGATTTATCTTTATATTTTTTACTTCGTTTTTGGGACTTTTGCCATTCAGTATCGTATCAACTTACGTGGCTTAACAATTCATCAACCCGTTCCTCTCGGTTGTCTTCCAAGGCACGAGTAATGGATACGTATTCTTGAAGATCTTTATTTTGGTCTTCTAGGGCCTCAAAATTCGCTAAAAATATTTTTGCTGCCCGTTCTCATTCTTTTATTTCACTTTCAGCCTTTTTTAAATTGTCTTGGAGTTTCTCTTTTTCTTTATTTAGATTATCAACTTGGGTAGTTTTCTCGGTCAATTGCTTGGCGGTTGGTCTTTGAGAATAGTCATTATTTCATTCATTCAAAGTTATGTTTGGGCGGTTGTCTTTTGCTTGTTGAGCGTTTTCTTTGGCGGTTTTTTCAGTTTCTAATTGCCCTTTAATATTAGTTAACTCATCTCCTTTTTCCGCTAGTTGTTTTTCTAAATCTGCTTTGGCTTTTGTCAAATCCTCATTTGTTCGGTTAGCAACTTTTAATTGATTTTCTGCCTCGTTATACTTTTCTTTTTCTGCCGTTAAGTCATCCTGGGCTTTCTTTCATTGCTCGTTAGTAATGTCGGGCCTAGCATCCCACTCCTTTTGGGCGTTAATTAAATGCTCTTTGGTTTGGGCGTGTTGTTTTTGCTCGCTGGTTAATTGCTCGCTAGTGGCTTTGTGGGCGGCTTGTTCGTCAACATAGTTGGTGCGATAAGTATCCCGTTCTCTCCCCACATCTTTTTTGGCCTGTTGCTCGTTGGCTAATTGCCGTTGGGTGTTGGTTAAATCTTCTTGGGCTTTTTTTAAATTGTCGGCAAGAGTATTCTTTTCCGCGGTTAAGGTGTTTACTTGCCGGTTGGCAGTGTTTAAACTCTCTTGGGCTGTTTTTAAGGTTTCTTGGGTTTTGGCGTGATTACTTTGCTCTTTAACTCAACTTTCTCATGCCTCATTTTTTCCCTCTTCGTAAAAAGCCGCAAAAGCCTCCGTTTCATTATTTTTTTTGTTTGCTTCTTCTAATTTGGCCTCTATTTTTTTCTTTTGCTCGGCAATTTTATCGGCTCTCTCATTCCCTTTGGCTAATCCCTCTTCGTATCCTGCTTTCTTGCTATTAGCATTACTTCGATCAACTTCGGCTATTTTAAGTCCTAAATTGAAATTTTCCAAATTCAACTCATTATTTCTTTTGTTGGCATTGGCTAATTGCTTTTTGGTTTCCTCGTGGCTGTTCCTTTCAGCGGTCAATTCGGTGTGCATATTTTTTCGTTCCTCTACTGCCTTTTTGTAATCCTCCGCCGACACCATACCTTTATCCTTGGCTTTTTGTTCCAATTCATTTGGGTCAATTCAATTCGTCCGATAATTAGCGGGGTCAACTCAACCATTATATTTGGCTTTTTCGTCATTTACCGCCTCATCTAAATCTTTTTGCGTATACTTCCAGCCGGCTTTTTTGGCTTCCTCCTCTAAATTATCAGGGTGAATATAATTTTCATACTCTTTTGCTTTGTTGGCTACTTCTGCGTCCACCTCGTCCTTGCTTTTATATCCTTTTTGACGGGCTACTTCGGCAAAATTATTGGGGTCGATGTGGTCTTTGTATTTGTCTGTCTCTTGCCGGCGGGCATCACTGACCGCTTCGTTTACTTCTGCTTCCGTTTTTAGTCCGTTTTTCTGACGGGCATTTTTATCGTTGGGGTTAATTCAGCCCTGATGATCGGTTTCTAGGACATAACCACCCGCTTTTACAATATTTTTCGCCGCCTTATCTAATTGTTGCTGAGTTGGTCGTTTGCTATATTCGTCTCTTTCCGCTATCACTTTATCATATTCGGCTTGGCTAATGTTCGGGCGTCGGTCCCTTTCTGCTACTACTTTGTTATAATCCTCTTGGCTTACTGAATTGGCTATTACCAAACTATTTTCGGTAATTTTAGCATTTAATTCGGTTATTTGGCCGTTTAATCTCTCTATTTCGTTATTTTTATCCTCGGTATTTAATTGCTCGCTTTTCAAATCCTCATTAACTACCTCTAATTCATTTTCTTTTGCCTTAATTTTTTCGTTGGCTTCTTGTAATTGCTGCTTAACATTTACTAATTCTGTATCAATATTTTCCTTATCTCGTTTTAATTCCTCAATAGTTTTTTGGGCGTCAGTCAGAGCATTTTCGTTTTGAGTTTCTGTTGGGGTTATTTCTTTCGTTGGAGAAACTAACTGTGTTTTGCTACACTCGGCATCGGTGGATATTTGTTCGGTCTCCCGTTTTTGGCTGTCAACTTTTTCACTTTCCGCTTGGTCGTCGCCTTTAATACCTCCCTCTGAAATTGCATCCCATTTACACCATTTATCTGCTCCAATTTCGGTTTTTCATTTTTGTCGGAATATTTGACAATCTTGATTAGTAATTCCTTTGCCTGCAAAATTACCTACTTTATTTAATTCTAATCTGCCAACTCTTAACAATTCCTCAATGTATTTTATCAGATAAACCCCACAATCATAACCATTTGTTTGTTTTGGACCCTCAATTATTTGAATATTTTTGGCTGCTTTTTCTCCTACTATCTGCTCGATTAGCGGCTTAATTTGTTTAACTTCATTTTTTACTTCCGCACCCGACGAAGTATAATAAACTTTGGTTTCTGGTTTTAATTCCAAATTTCCACCATTACCAACTACTTTTTTTTCATCCTCTTCTATCACAAAAAGGCCTCAATGATTTCCGGAAACTCGCACAGGAAAAATAGTGTTTTTGTGCTTGTCTAACTCCATTTCTTTCAAAAATTCCGGCAAATCCCACTCCAAGTTGTTTTTGCTCTTGTAAAAAGAATTGTAAATGTTGGCTAAATCGGTGCGGACTTCTCAATTCCTCTCCTTTTTGCCTCATGGTTCATTTCGTATTTTGAGCCACCTTTTAACAATATTACTATTTTTGAGAATATATGCGATATTATCGTCGGCCAATCAGCCTTTATCAATATCTCGTGCTAACAATTCATCGATTAGTTCTTCTTTTTTTTCTATTTCCTTTTTTAAGTCCTTAATGCAATTTTCTAATAATGCATGACTTAAAATATTACATTTTTCTTCTTCCTCTGGTTGAGGTTTGTTTTTAGCGGCTAATTGCCGTTTTAACTCCTCTACTGATTTTTCGTGTTCCGCTTGTAATTTTGCTATCTCCTCCTCATGTTCTTTTCTCAATTTTTGCGGTTCGTCATCCATCATTTTCAGCATCGGATCTTTTTCAATTGGACTGCCCTTTGGGCTGGCTAGTGGGGTGCCTGGTCTACTATCAGCGTAAAATGGGGTGCTGAAACCCGAAGAAAGAGAAATTCCGCTGCTCGTGCGGCGGTGGCTTTTCAGGTCAGGGTGTTTTTTTTCCGCTGCGGCTAAAATTTCTTTTAATTCCTTATTTTCATGCTCCAAAATCTTTTTTTCTCATTTCAATTGTTCTCGCTCGGCGGCTCCCCGTTCCTCTTTATATTTATGTATGGCCGTTAATCGTCTATTTTTTTCAACTGCTCTATCTAAAAGTTTATTTATGTAGGCATTATACTTTTCGCTTTTTTGCCCGTCTGCCTTGGCCTTGTTTTCGTATTCCTCACATCGTTTTTTCAATTCATTAATTTTATCTTCAAAGACAACCTCACTTCCGTCTTTTGTTATTTCCTTAACTATGTCAAGGAGATTTTTTTGAGCGGCTTTTCGCTCCTCCCTGGAAATTGTGGAGGATTTTCGAATATCTGTTTCATCTGTTTCATCTGTTTCATCTGTTTCATCTGTTTCATCTGTTTCATCTGTTTCATCTGTTTCATCTG